AGAGTTGGAATCTATGTATTCTAATAAATTCTAGGATCTTGTAGAACTTTCTAGTAGGGTGATTCCTATGGAAGGCAAGTTAATCTACAAAAAGATACCAGAAGATTTCTTAGTAAATAAATCATGAGTGTACAAGGGAATGTCATTATTTTTTTGTTCTATATATATATTGATAACATCCTACTCATTTAGAATGATGTGGAAGTTTTGTCATTGATAAAGAGCTAGTTGTTCAATTACTTTTAAATGAAGGATTTTCAAGATGTAAGCTATATTCTTAGGATCAAGCTTTTGCAAGATCAGGTTAAAAGGAAAATAGGCTTATCTTAATAATCCAACATTGATAAAGTTTTGACCAGGTTTGGTATGCATAACTCAAAGTATGAGTTCTTACTTGATTGACATGGATTGCTCTCTCCAGTAGGTAGTTTTACAAGATTGACAGAAGAGATTGAGCAAATGAGACTGGAACTATATGCTTTGGCATATAGGAGTCTCATATATGCTATGGTATAAACCAAACAGGACATCCGCTACATAGTAGGGATAGTCAGTAGATATCAGTCCAATCCTGGACTTGATAACTGGTCTATTGTGAAAAATATCATTAAGTACCTAAGGAGAATCAATGATATCATACTCATTTATGGATGTGATGATATGGTCCTAGTCAGGTATGCTAGTTCTGATTTTCAATCAGAAGTAGATACTATGAGGTTCATGACTTAGTGTATGTTCACTTAATGGAAGGGAAATCAGTTAGTAGATTGTTAAGCAGATTTCAACTGCTGACTTAAACCTGCAAGTGGAGTACATTGCAGCCTTAAAAGTGGCAAAGGAAGCCTTTGGGTTTGATCTCACTGATTTAGAGGTTGTGGAGCATACTAGCCTGCCTATCAAGTTATATTGCGATAATAGTGCAGAAGTAGTCCAAACAAATGACCCAAGGTTCCATAAAGGAACAAGGTACACTGAGAGGAAAGTATCATGTCCTACATGATGTTGTCCGACAAGAAAATATGCTCATGGCTAGATCATTGCATTAGAACACAACTTTGTTGATCCATTAACAAAGGTGTTATCGATCAATAGTTTTGATCATCACCTTGATAACATTGGAGTTAAATGCAATTTGAATTAGCTATGAGGACAAGTGGGAGTTGTTGGGATTCATATGCCTTGGCATAGCAAATTCCTATTTGGATTATAGTGACATATGTTCCTAACGTTTCTGAAATATTTATGCTTTATACAATTGGTAAATTCAATGTATTATGTTTCGATTCATTATAAAATTGATAGTGTCCATTTGATTACAAAAGATATTTATATATATGTATGTGATGGTGAACAATGCATGGTATATAAATAGTAATCATAAATTTTTCATAGTCGGTAATTATGGATGGACTCATAATTAATTAAGATTTGAACTGGATCCGCGTTAGGTTGAGATATATTACGAGAGCCGTCGTATGCAATTGCTCCCTATCACCGTCATGGCATTTGACTCTTAAACATGAGAAAAGTATAGACTCTTGTATTAATTAATAATTACTTTGATTTGTTTAGCGGATTCTTCGGGATTCTTAAACCGACACTTTGGGTAGTTATGTAATTAATAGTTAGAGAGTTATATTTTCAATATTTGCATCATTGCTACTTGTATTTATTTTGTATTGATTATGGTTGATCACAAAGTAAATTCGAAGGCCTTCGTGTGTTTTTAGACAAAATGATTTATTATATATTTATTTATTTAAATTATTATTTTTGTCAAACAAATGTTTTATAGTGATCGAGTCAGAAATAATCAAAGGTATCAAAATAAATATATTAATTAAGTAGTCGGATTGATGGCTTTATCTATCCGATAACTAATTATGCATAGAGGGGTCAAAGTGCGATATTGACTTAGAGGTTATTTATTATTTAATTAGAGTTCAATTAATTTCTTTTAGTGGAGTAGAAATTTATTTATGAATTAATTGAATTGGGTTCATGAACCGAGCTAATTATTAATTCATTATAGCCAATAAAATAATAGACCCAATGGATTCTCACTCATAGCCCAACTTGATATTGGAATCATATTAGATTTGAGACATGTGAATTAGAGATTGAGAATGATTTGTTGTTTCCTTTTCTTTATCTTTTTGTTGCCTATAAATATACATGGTCTATGTATATTTTGGGGTGTGATTTTTGGAAGAAGGAAAAAGGAATATATTTTCTCTCTTTAGAAAATTAGGGTTTATGTTCTCATCTAATGGAGGCTCCCACAAGCCTAATTTTTCAAGGTCATTCATGAAGGCTTATGAGTGATTTCTAAAGGCAAAATAATTATCAAGAAGATAGAGATCCAAGGAGAAGGCATCTTGCTAAGGGATTTACAATAAGTGAGAACGTTCACTTTAGAGGAAAGTTTTAAAGGTTTACTCAGACCTTTGATGTAAGTATTCAATCCATTAATTGAATGATACATCATATTTTTATTTTTGCATAAAACTTGTCTCTATGTATTGAATCAAGATCTATGAATTAAAATCCCTCCAAAAGTTTTTAAAACTAACACGTTTCCCAACAAGTACAATATATCTTTCATTTGGCTTGAAAATTTTATTGTAAATACAGATATGAATGCTAGCAGCTTAATGTTGACTGCTTATGTGAATTATGGGAAGAAGATGGATGGGAAAATCCTATACAAGGATACCAGAGAGCAAGGCCACAGAGACAGCTAAAGAGGTCCTTTATTTAGGAACAACATTGTGTTTTACATTTGGTAGGAAATAGTTGTAAACTTAGGTGCAACAACGTTGTGTTGTACATTTGTTAGTGTACTCAAGTGAGCTAACTTACTTTCATTGTTTAATTCACTCTATATAATTCCATTCTCTTTTCTGCAACTGTTTGACTTTGCTAACACCCTGATCCACTCTATTTCCCATCATCATCCAAAGTAATGACTCGCATTATTATTCATATTGTATACTGAGTTATGGAAGGAAAAGAAAAATGAATTTTTTTATTTACAGGGGAGTGAAAAGTCACAATGCACCCAAGTTATCAATAAAAATTACGTGGTACACGCCATTCAGAGTTAAAAGTATGGATTTTCACCTCTCTTTACAGAGAGAGATACGCACACAGACACATATATTATCTCAAACTTCAAATTTTAAAATAACATGACAGGAGAAAACATAGAACATCTTTCTTCTCAAAGACCATCTTAAATACAAACTCTCATCTTGTAAAACAATATCTATATACCACTTCTATTTGCTTTCTTTTTTATTTATTTATTTTATATATAGATAAACTATGGATTCAACACCAATATCAACATAACATGAAGTTCATTATCCTCATCTATGGTAGGCGAAACATTGGTGCCAATAAATATAGCTATTTAAATTTAACAATTAAAGAAAATACAGAAAAGAATTGGCAGAAATATGCTTCAAGAGTTTATTTGGTAATGAAATATATATAATTTTTAAATAGTGTTGCGGGTCTCATGTCACAGTGATATCATAAACTTGCCACCACACGCATATAAATTGAATTATGTCGTTAAATCATTATTGATTTTGTATTTATGGGCTTTAGATTTTGGGGCTCATAGAATCGGAAAAGACAATACACTCCAATCCTCCACGGCTCAAAATTGACTAGTTTAGATTGTATTTCTGGGCTTTAGATTTTGGGCCTCATAGAACGCTAGACATACAATATAGGGTAAAAAAGGAAAATACAATACGCTTCAATCCTCCACGGCTCCACCCCCTTCAATATATACGGAGTATTTCGGTTTGCGCAGCGTGAGAAGAAAGAAAGGGACGAAGAGAAGAAACAAAGTGGGAGGGTTTCGTGACTGGCAAGTCACCTCCTCTTCTCCTTCTCTTTTGATTTTTACATTTCAGTGGAGAATTTCAAGCCATTCTTCTGTACCGTTCTAGGTTGTGAAAATATGTTGCTCGCCTGCTTTGGTTCTAGCAAATAATTTGCCCTTTTTTATTTTTAAAATTTTGATGATAAAATTGTCTCTCTCTTATTATTTCTCTTGAATTTGTGTAAATGTTTCTTCCAGATTGCCACCAAGATGTGTAGACGCGTTAGTGAAGCGGAGTTGATTGCTAAATACAGTAATTCTCTCTCCACCTCGTAATTAATTGTGTTTCAATTTTTACTAATGCCAGTAATTTTGATTTCCTAAATCAGTTGTCTGGCCAATCTATTCTGGTCTTTTTGGTGCTGTTGTTTGTGGGGGTGGCACCCTTGGACTCCTTGTGGGGTATGTTACACTCTGCTCTTTAGATCTCAATGGACTAGTTTAGGTTGCTTTCTATACTGAGCTTATTATTTATTTACTTTTTTTTTTTGAGAAAAAAAAAAAAAACAAAACAAAAAAAAAACAAAAATATGTGGTTGATTTAGGTCTGAGTTCTGTAGAGTTTCTATCTGTTTCTCTTTCAATTAATTTTATATTTTTTGGTCTGCACTTTTTTATTATATATTTTATGACTTTTTGGTTGTTGCAATCCTATAGTAGCACTGTTTTTCTTTGTTTTTACCATCTTTGTTTCCTAATGTTTCATTGTGATTGGCATTGCTTTTAGCAACATCAATTTTTTTTTCTTTTTCTCTTTTTTTTCTTTTTCTTCCTTTTTTCCCCTCTTTAATGGATTGGATTTAATATTTTACTCCTATAATGATATACAATATATTTGGATTTCTTTTGGTTTCACCTTTTATCATCTAAAGGTGCATGTTATGTAATCAATGATATTGTTGCATTTTTCTGTTCTGTTGTGAGTTGTTTTGTAATTTTTGGTTTTCACTTCTAATTTTTCAGTATTGTTGACAACTTGTATTAACACTTTTACTGATATAATGTTTATAATTTGCATATGGCTATATTTAAAGAGTTGTGTTGGGATAATTGTAGAAGTTGGTATAATGTGTCTTACATCTTAATTTTGTTTTGATTGTAGGATGACTAAAGTTGTGGACTGGTTCGAACGGTTTGTCTTCTTCCCTTGAAACTTGAATACCCTTTATCTATTGATCTCACGTTGTATCAAGTGGATAGTTGTAGATGGAACAATTACTTAATTTAATATTCATGCTCCTGGCTAGTGCGCTGTTCATTATAAAATTTTGAAATTATATTATGACTGACCTTTAATTTTTTACTTCCGCTGCGGTTTATATATTCCTAGGTGGCAGCCAACATGTGATGTTATTTTGTATCAGATCATGTGGCCTTAGCACAAGGATTCACTAGCCAACTCATGCAACTTCATCCAAACTTACAATTCCCCTTTCCTACTTGACATATGGAAAGATATATATTCATAAAAGATTTGGTCCACTTAAATTTGGATCTTTGCTCTTCATAATGCTCTATATAGTCATGAAAAATGTGGTCCTTGCATTCTGTTCTGCACTCACCATTCGTTATAGGATACCCTGAATAAAGCCCTATACCAACCTATCATATGCATTTGCCATATTCGGCTTTAAACCAACATAACTGATTTTTTTCTTTCGTCCTCTTCATATATTGCATTGCCTCGTGAGCAATGTCATCATGAAACAAGCGTTTAGGGATAAAAGAACTCAGCTCCCTAATCAGTGAATGCAAGAGAGGCTATAATGGATTAGCCAATACTTTTCATAATGCCTTATACACGACATTACACAAGGAAATGGGACAAAATTGGGTCATCTTATCCAGACCTTTAATATTTGTGCAATTCAAGCTTCTCAATAGGTGACCAGAGTGCAAAAATAGTCAAAGCCCACCACTATGTCCTTACATTATCCCAGTTTGAATGAAATAGTGGAGTAAAACCTTCAGGTCTCGGAGCCTTAAAGGGGCCCATTTCACTATTAGAGAATTCAATCTGTATCTCTAAACACTCCCATAACAACTTTGAATTCATCTCTTGGGTTACCTTACACTGTACCATATCCCAAAAACAAAATCATGAGAGGCCGTAGATGAAGAAAAAAGCTCTGAAATTAGTTTCAGCCTCATACCTCACCTCTTCTTTAGTCTCCACCTAATTACCTGCTGTGTCTTCAATACCTGAAATTGCATTCTTTTTCCTCCGAATCATTGCTTTCTAGTGAATGTACATCGTAGTGTTGTGACCATGCTACAATGAAGCAATGCAGGATTTCTGCTTCCACACATTTCTTCCGCTTTCCACTCCCCAGCAATCTCCCGTTCTATTCTTATTTATTCATGCCTATGAAACTCATCTTCACACAATTTCAGCTTTGACAACTGATCTTGCATCATTGTTATTCTAGCCTGTGAATTCTGGAACTTGCTTTTACTCTGGGTGCGCAATCTGGCATTGTAGGATTACAACCAAAAGTAAATATGGAATTCAAGGATTTACCTAATCAGTCATTAGAGGCATCAGAATCAGAATCAGTCCGCATCATCCCCACCCAAATGGGAGAATCGGACTGGGGATCGGTACTTTTGGGAAAATTCCAAACATGATTGAACCATTGTACGAGTCCTCCCAAACCTGTTGAACAAGTGGATTGAATCCCTTCTATTTCAACCATCTCGTGCCAAATGAAATTGTCTTTTAATCCTAGACAAAGACTCATTGAAATCAAACAGTAGAACTCTATGCTCCAATCCTGCGACTAAAAGGTGATGTAATGCATTGTTAGGAATAGCTCAGGACGACTCAAAAGTACACAGGCCTCTCTCTAATCTCACCATTATTGTATTCCCCTCACCTTTGTTATTGCACCAGGTAAGAAAGGAGCCTGGAACCCAAAATTAGCAACCCGCAACTATAGATCAAAATTTTGAAGCTCCTAAGCATCCAGCTATTCAAAGTATTTGGCTTATTTGCACCCTCCCCCCCCCCCCCTCACGCACACGCGTGAAAGCAAATTAACTACCGTGGCCATACATCACTCTTTACCTCTCCATGTTTACATTGTAAAGCCCGTCTACTTAAATTATCAACAGCTATTCTGAAAGTATGCTCATGAACTGCTCAGGTTTGGCTCATCATGTCAGAAGCTCGGCTAGTTTGTTAGTTAATTAAATGAAGCAAGCTTGAAAACAATTTTCAAGCTCATTTAATGAACAAGCAGTGCCCAAACAATGCCGAGCTTGTCTCTTTAAGCTTGTAAACTAGCTTGTATAAGGCCATTACAGATCTAGTCCATATTTGAAGCACATTATATTGTGTACTTGTGTGATCAAATACAATGCAAGCACAGCCCATGAACATATACCATTGAACTGTTCAACTATTTTCTCCGATTTAGGCAAAATATCAGTGAGTTGATTCCATATATGTGCCCAAGAAATCTGCCTCTCATTACCAAAACCAATTCTAAAAAGAGTTTGTTTCCATACCAGCCTTGCAACTGGACAGAAACAAAGCATGTGAGCAATAGATTGTTCAGCCTCACCACACCTCCTACACACTGCATGTTCCACCATTCGCCTCACTTCGAGGTTAACAAGTACAACAAACCCCTAATGGCAGCATTGCCAGAGAAAAAAGTGAACCTGCCTTGGCACCTTAATTTTCCAGATTCCTTTCTACCATGATGAAAATGCCTGTTGATTAATACTGCCAGCACCTCCTACACTCTGGTCATTCCTTTTGCATTAATTGCATAAATAGCCTTTAAACACTTTTAATAGTGAACATTCCATCTGATGTAAGTTCCCAATGGTTAGAATCTGAGCCACAATTTTTCAGATAGGTAGGTGGAGGATTAAATCAGCATCTCTTCTATTGAAAGCACTAGTGACCGGCTCTTTTCTCCAATTTTTTAGTTGAATGTTCAACCAAATCTGCAACTTTCTGAATTTCACTACTCTTGTATGAAGTTGTGAAAGCAAAATGAGAAGGATCAGGAAGCCAGTTGTCCTTCCAACAATTAATACTTTTATCATTAATGATCCTCCATTTTGTACTTTTGGAAACAATATCTTTAGCAGAGAAGATACTCCTCTAAATCCATGATGTCTTAGATCCACAGGATGAGTCCATAAAATCCACCTTGGGAAAGTTTTTTTTTTGTTTTGTTTGAAAGTCTTAAAAAACAAGGAACTATCACCAAGCTTAAGCCTCCATGCTAACTCGGCTAAGATAGCATTGTTAAATTCTTCCAAATGTTTGAAGCCAAACCCACCAACTGCCTAGTCCTCACAGAATTGATCCCAACTGACCCAACATTCTTCAGATTTATCTTCAGTGTAGTCGACCAAAACTTTATAAGCTTGCTTCTAATCTTCCGACACAGATTCAAGGAAATTTTAGAACACTGAGCGGGCCGAGCGGCTTAAGTAGGAAGAGCAGCTAGGACAGATTTCAACAAAATGTCTTTTTCCTACCTTGGACAACAAATCATCTTTGAGAACCTAGACCTTCGCTTCTATCTTCTCTATAGGAAACTTGGTAAAGAATTCTTATACCTCTTAAACACTGTTGGCGGCCCTAAATATTTGTTTTCCCATCCGCCACTTGAATATGCTACACATCTCAGATTATTTTTCAGTAAAGAACTTGAACTAGAACTTAAATATAATCTAGATATATTATAATTTATCATGACAATGCAAAAAAGACTTCAAAGCAAAGGCTTTTGTCCTATTTGCCCTTCAAAAAGGGAGATCATTATCGCAAAAATAAAAAATAAAAAATTTGTGAAACTGGAGTGACCCCTTTCCGAATTAGGACACCATGTATTTGCCCTTTGTTGACAGCTTGATTTAGTAGAAGTCAAAGACCTTCGATGCACTATAAAAAGAGGTAATGAGAAAATAGGTTACCTTATCTAAGACCTTTTGAGGGATAAATCAAGCTTCCACTATGAGCATAGAGTAGGTAACAGATTTGACACAACACATAATAACTATGACCCATCTCTTTGAGAAACCCATCCTCTCCATAATGCCTTGAATGAAGTCTATTTCCACTATCACAGGCTTTGGCCATGTCCAACTTTAGTTCATGTTCATGTTTCCTTTCCAAACATGTTTCTCGTAATCGAGATATCACTCAATCAATTTTGTGGTTTCTAGGGTTAAAGAAAGTACTTTAAGAATTGTTGGGCACTATAGTTTCTTTCTTGGAGCTTGGGAGCGGCCACGTGTTAGATGAATTATGTGACTTAGTTCATGTTTCCTTTCCAAACATGTTTCTCGTAATTGAAAGTCCTTTGAGAATTGTTTTTAGGCGCTATAGTTTCTTTCTTGGATTTATTTATTTATATTTTCTTTACCTTGGTAAGAAACTCACACACCCGCTTTGTCCCTATGCGGACTTTATCTGTCAACCTTCTACTTTGGAAGGCTAGGAACTACTGCTACACCCACTTAGATTATTTGTCTGTTGCATTGTTATTTTTGAAATATGTATTTCAAACAAAATTTACCTTCTTTGAAATTGTTTTTGTTTTTGTTTTTTATATTACCATTTGTATTGCATGATGTTCTTCTTTATTAATAGAAATAACGTTAAAAGTATTGTGCTCGTGTTATGTCATATCTTAGTTTTTTGTTGGCTGCTAAAATGTCACTACAAATTCTGTTTAGGTTGATATTATGCTTATTGTCTAATTGATGTTAAAAAAGGATTTGTATTTTCTTTTCAGAGATAAATACCTGCAACAGCTGAGCAGAGGATATAATGAGAAAATATAATGATGAGGAAAAAAGGGCTCTATTGAAGGCTCTAAAAGCAAAATATGGATTGTGCAAAACCTTCTACGGGACTCGGTTAAAGATTACTAGCAAATACAACAACTTAAGGTAGTTCACAGTTTGCCTGAGAAACTAATATATCTGTCATTTGACTAGAAGCTTAATGTTGCTGCTTATCTGAAACCAGTACTATGAATGAGAATGCTAACTGCTTAAGGTGGACAGTTCGCGACTTTGCGCGGGAGTTTTACAGTATATATATTTTTCATTTGGCTTGAAAATTTTACGGTAATTATAGATAAAAATGCACACGAATGCTTAATGTCGATGGCTTTTACGTGAATTATGGCAAGAAGATGCATGGGAAATCCGGAAAAGCTGTAGTAGGCTCCATCCCACAAAGGCCTCGAGTTAAAGTATGGATCAGATTCAATTAAGAGAAGAAGAGTGAAGAGTCATTCTTAGGCCCCGTTTGGATTGACTTTTCAAATGTTGCTTTTGGCTTTTTGAGTTTGGAAGTTGTTTTAAGTAGTGTTTGGCTAATTTTTTTAAAGAGCTTTTGAGTCTTGAAAGAGTGTTTTGGAGAAGCTGGTACCCTTAGCTTCTCCAAAACGCTCTTCTAAAAATACACGGGAAGAGTATTGGGAATATTAATGAAATTTTTTAAATGACAAGCATACCCTTTATATTATCTCATAACAAATTATAATTCCAACCGTAGTCTCAAAAAAAACTCACATCGGTGTTCTCTGACAACGTACATATCCCTTCATACTCACAAGAACGATCCATCAAGCATTTAACCGGAGAAAAAAATTGAAGAAGACTATTGCGAGACATAACCAGTGGCTTTACTCCCTCAATCTTTCAATATCATTCGACTTTGGTATTTATTCTCTTGCCTGTTTATTCTTCTTTATTTCCCCTATTTTCTCTAAATATTTTCGAAACTCCCCGATGAACAATCACTAGCTTCCATAGGAATAATCACCATATTTCAACTCTGCATCCAACCGTCACAAATCTTTAATTTTTTTTTCATCTTCAAATTGAATTCCCTTTTGTGCAACAATGGATTCCAGTTATTTACCCAAAAATAAATTTTATTTTATTTTATTTTATTTTTTTTATTTTTTATCAGATTAATTCATCTGCATAGCATTTCTTTTTTTATTAGATTAATTTCAGATTAATTCACCATCATAGATCTTTCCTATATTGCAATCTATCGTTGACCGTAGTAATATTTTTCTTTCTTTGTTTTCATAAATTTCCTTATTATATAATTAAGTTAATATAATTAAGTTTGTAATTATAAGGAAACAACAATATTATTCTAGGAAAGTCATAAGTATAATTAAGTTTGTAACTATAAAGAAACAACAATATTATTCTAGGAAAGTCATAAGCATGAGATTAATTATTTTCTTTTTGGAAGAAAAATTAGAAACCTTCAATATTTTATTATTCTTATTATTATATTTTGGTAGAATCAAAATGTTCAATTACAAAATTTTCTAAATCGTAAATAGTTTTTTTGCAATCTCTTAATTGTTATTCTTATTGTTATTATTAGTATAATTAATTATTATGTTGCATATGGCATGTTGTGGATAAATTTGATTAAACTGAGTGATTTATTTGTATGTCTTTACAAAAAGAGTTACAAAAAAAACAAGTAAAACAATAATTTAAAAATATACTCTATCTAAGGACAAAATAATTATTTTAGTAGTAAAAAAGCTTCCGTAAATATTTTGCCAAACAGATTGAAAAACTCTTCTACCATTAAAAGTTATTCTAAAATATAGTTTCCAAACACTAACAAATAAGCTAAATAGAAGTGATAACTTTTGCTTCTCTTTTTTTTTTCTACATAAAAGAGGAAGCAAAAACTATGCCAAACAAGCCCTTAATCTGATTAAGAGAAAGCAGAGAAGGTTTAAAAATATATATTAGAATACATATTATTAGAAGATTGACTATTGTCAGCATCTATTAATCCCTCAGCTATTATAATTAGATTTGTCTTCAAATGTTAGTTATTAGTTATTACAGTAAGAGACTAATTAAAGTCCTGCTTCGCTCCTACAATTTCCTTGGATTGATCACTTTTGGCGAAAGAGGCCCAAAAATAAAAAAAATAAAAAATAATAATTGGTCCGTGAATGTGGTGGACCAGCACTGGAAACAAATCAAAACTCAAAAACAAGAAGGCATATTCAAATTTGGCACAAAACTCGCCTTCAAAGCCGAGACAGGGCAAAGTAGAAAAACATTGCAGCTAACCAAGAATGTAGTGAAAAAAAATAAAACTGCAACAAAAGAGTATAATGACTAAGGGCCTGTTTGGTATGTATTTTGTTTTTGGTATTTTTGTTTTTATCAGGTAATGTAGCATAAACAATGTGTTTGATAAAAATTATTTTATTTTGTTTTGCCTAAAATACCAATTTGGTGTTTTTATATTTTTTTTCTCACTGTAACGATTGGAATTGTAATTGTAAATTTTTTTCACCAAATGTGTTTCGTATTTTTGCTTCCAAAAATTCGTTGTTAATAAAAACAAGATGCATAGATTTGTTATAACAAGAAGCAAATCAGAAATTTCATTACCAAGATGAATACTACACACAATTCATGTAAAAAAAAAAATCCACTTATACATACATTCATAGACAGCCTCAACCAGCAGGGCCGGACTTAGATATTATGTGGGGGGATAATATTAAAATTTATCAATAATTTCAGGGGGTCAATAATATTTTTTTTTAAGGGTATATATAGGGATGTCAATTTTTACCGCCTCGCCGGGGCCCCGCCCCGTTAATAACGGATATGGAAACACTTATTATACCATTGGGGCGGACATGGATACAAATTTTGTACCCGTCGAGGGTCACGGGGCGGGTAAGGGTTCAATATACATATCCTAGGGGCCCCGCCCCGCCCCGCCCCGCATATAACTATATTTAATATATATATATATATATATATATATATATATATATATATAAGTTATTTTAGCGGCTTACCTAACCCATCTCTTACAATCCTAATTTGGGATGTAAACTTGGTATTAAATTTGCTTTTGTTTTGGTTATGGTGGAAGTTGGAGCTTAGAACTTCTTGTGATTTGGTTGTATTAAATTTTTATTTTTGTTTATTATGTTCTTTGAATTATGTTATGTGCATGTTATTTTTTTTATTTTTGTTAGAATACATAATTTTATTTATGTTGTGTCATTCCTAGGCTTTGCACATTTGAATAGTAGGAGTTTAAGTTCCAAAAAGTGGGAGAAAAAAATTTGTTAGTGGGGCGGGCACGGGGGCACAGTATTTCCTAACGGGGCGGGGTTGGATATGAAAATTCAACCCGTCGCGGGTCTCGGGGCGGGCATGGACTTGACAAAAATTAAAAGGGGCGGGGCGGGATTTAGGGAAACCCGCTCCAAACCCGCCTCGTTGCCATCCCTAGGTATATAATTAAAGAAAACAAATTAATAAAGGTATATTATATTTGTCTGACAACTGCGAAGAGAGAGTAGGAACAGGGCCTTGCCCTGATATTGACAAAATTTTGAGAGGCCCTAGGCGAACTTAAATGTGAGACCTTTTAATTACTGAAATATACACTAACATACATATAAAGTAGTAAAGGATTACCAAGTTTTTAAGGGTCCTAATTTTGAATGGGCTGTGAATTTGTTTAATCGAAGGGCTCTTAAGTTTTTTTATTTCTTATTTGGGCCTATCATTCATGGGAAAGGGCCTAAGTTTTTTCTTTTTATTTTGGCCTATGGTAATGGGCCTAAAATTTTGAGGCCCTCTAAATGTTGAGGCCTAGGCGACCTGGGTAGGAGAAAGAGGAAATAGTACCATGAAACGAAATGGGTGAGCGCCGTCAGCTTTGACACTCCAGTTGGAATTGGTGAGGTTGAGAGAGAGATGATCGGTTGGAGTGAAAATGGTCATTGGAGAAACATTTGCTTGTGAGGAGGACATGGATAAGAGAGCCAGGTAGAGGTATGAGAGATTTAACAGCCCTCTCTTGTGAGGATTAAAATCCTCTCTAGTGTTACAGTGCATCTGTCCTAGTCGGTGAGAAAAATGTTGAGATGCATGTTAAGAAAATGTTCTAACAGTTAGAATCCAAAGCCAAACATACAAAGTTTAATCAAATGATGTAAGACTGTTTATATACAAAGTTGGATCAAATGCATGAAGTTTTGGGGAAATTTGAACAAATGTATAGAGTCTAAAATAAAGTCCTAGTGAATTATGTCAAAAGATTTTTTTCAGATTAACTTTTGAGAGCACAAAATGAGAGGACCACACGAACTATTATACAAACATGGAAGGACCACACAACGTATTTTTATAAAATGAACTTATTTTCTATTTTGGACTACACAACAATCTATATTATTATAATGACCCAAAACAATATTCTATTATAACATAAAAGTCTTAAAATATGAAATAAATATACGGAAAGATCCTTGAACAACTATTTAATATTTTTCTAACTTTTTAATTTTTTCATAATAAATTAAAATTTCACAGTAGATTAATATGGACTTATAGACTTCTTTGGACAAAAGATCTTAGATATATAAATTAAATTTAACGAAACAATATAGGCTCTGATACCAAAATTAAATGTAATCCAACTGGATAAAAGCATGCAATAACAGAGATAAAATTAACAATTAAATCAGAGAAATGACTGCCGAACCTGATAACGCTCTGATAACGCCCTGTAAAAAGGCCTGAACACCGGCAATAACGGGCCAACAAGCCAACAGTTTGAGTCAATTCACAAAAAAAAATTGCTAAATTAAAACTAAGACTGCTTATACTGGTTGGATTTAAGAAAATTCTAGGATCTACACTGTCTGGCAAAATAAAATCTATATATATGACCTTTTTGTTGACCGAAGTCTTTTGTCCGAAAGTACTGAAAGTTCTAAGTAAGGAAAAGGAATTTCTGAATAAGAGTAAATTAGATGATTTATTTCATGGGAAATATATACATGGATATACACTATTTATACATGGATACACTTTCACATAATATTTTACAAAAGGAAACACACTGAAAGAAATCACAAAAGAAAACACACTAGGAAGCTATGACTGAAGACAGGAATGCTTAATAACTCTAAACTTGATTGCTCTAAACTCGATGATTTTCTCTTGAGCTAAAGGCTTCCTTTTATAGAGTGATCTAGAGAGATTGATCAATGCTTGAGATTGCAAATGTTGCATAGATGGTTGAGATGTAAGATGCTTTGGAAATAAGGTTCATTGAATTATTGCAGGACACCCTTATCTTTAAACTGTTGTCCTTTAGAAATTTGTGGCTTCAGAATCTACTTTTTAGTAGATTCTTATCGTTAAAATTTGCTTTTTTGATAGAATCTTATCTACAAACTGGTCCCTGAAAGTGAATTCTACTATGGACTTTTTGACTCTTGAGTGCTCTCTGGATTCTTCCAGCAAAATTATTATACTTCTAGCATATTATACAGATTTCTTTCTTTAGTGCTGTCTGCAGAGCTGTTATTTCCATCTAATGGATTATCTAACTGAGCATGTAGTCCTCTGATGCATTATGCTTCCTTATCTATTAAAGCAGC